CTGCTCAGGCTCTGTTCCCTCCCAGAACACATGAAAGTATGAGGCAAACTTGAAACATATGGGCCAAAAAACACTGACTTTGAAATAAACATACCGGTAGTACTTTTCATTTAGGCAAATTACTACAGATGCCCATAGGTTTAGTTCATCCAGAATTGATACATCTTACCTTTTTGCAAACTGATGCCAGTTTCAGCACAGGTACTCCATAAACACACTTTTGAACACAACGTTTGTACCTGCTTATACAAAGTACAAACAATGCATGATATTAGTGCAAAGCCAAAAGGCTAATGATTTATCATCTATTTCATTGGGCTGGGACTCAGCAGAGTCAACACCATTTCAAGCCATGGTGACCCCACAGACCCACACTGCTCAGTATGTGTGTGTACTCCAGATTACCTCTACTCCCCCCACACACAATCCATGTGCTAATTAGCCTCCCACTTGTAACTGGAACAGGTGTTCTTCTCACAAGTCTTCAGATCCTCCAGACATTATATGCAGATGAGGTGTAGGGCTGCCTGTTCTAGTTCTCTCATGGAAGGTGGGCACATACCAATCACATGTGATGGAGAGAGTGGGGGGTGACAGAGCCTCCCATCTACATAGATGTTTAATGATGTAGATTTATGAAGTAAAGTTCATGGGCTTATCTACAAAAGGTAAATTCCCTTAAAGGATTAGAACTGAAAGATCGGAGAGAGAGCAGTTGTCTTGTGAGAAGTGTACGCCCACTGGTAATTAGATATTTTTGTCTTTGATAGATTTTTGGTGTGTGTTCATTTTGGTACACAGTTGTTGTTTGGCTTCTCCTACATATTTTCCATCAGGGCATTTGGTGCACTGGAGGAGATACATTACATTTCAGGAGGTGCAGGTGTAAGATCCAGGAATGGTGATGGTTCTGTTGTGGGGTGTGGTTATAGTGGGAGTGTTGGAGATGCATTGGCAGGTTTTATATTTCTTGTCCCAGCATTGCCTGGATCCATTTGGTGTGTTTGCTTCTGGTGATGAGGTTAGTGCAACTTCTTACAAGCCAACTACTGTCTTTCCAATCTCTCAGTTCCAACAGCTTGCATAGACTAGTCTACGAACTTCACTTCATAAATCTACTGGATACAAAAAATCATGGACTAAATGTAAACATTGGATTTATGGCACATTATAACCTGCCTAACATCTGATAACCCCAGGTAACTTGTCTGTATTTTACCAGCTACATTCTATCACCAGTTCAATATTCCCCTCTTCTCCCAACCCCCATGTACCTGTCTCATACCTATTGTCTCCCATTCCCTCTCATCTTCACTGTTGTGCACTTGCAATTTCACAGACTGCATTTTGCATTATGACTTCTATTCCACCCAGAACAGCACACAAAACACTATCCAACTCTCCCTGTGCCTGAAGAAGGGTGTTTGTGCCTGAAAGCTTGCAAAGAACAAGTTTTCCAACTATTTCATTGGTCTAATAAAAGGCATCACATTTACCCAAAGAACCGTGCCTGCTCATGATGTTTGCTAGGCATTTAAGTCTGATGAATACACAGGAATCATTGGAAACAGGAACTAAATGGTGATGCTCAGCTGTGACAGTGAAGAGGAAGTCAAAATGCATTTAGTGTAGTGGTTCACCAGAGGTTGAAAAAGAATTGTTGCTGATGGGGACAAAACACAATGGCCACTATATCTTAATCAGATAGACTGCACTAACCTAGCTTTGTTTTAGGTTCCCATCAGTATCTTTGCCTAATATGAGTCATGTGCTTCACAGGCATGCTTAGTGTGGTTTCTATTCAATCAACATCATAGTTGGTTTCCATTACTGAGCACATGCTGCTTTTGGCAGCAGCTTAATGACAGGCAATATATTTAATGAAGTTTTATTGTAAGTGAATATAGGATGAGGGTCTTTTATTTTGCTGATTGGGAGGAAAAACCTTGTCTTGTATTTGAGTAAATAGAGTACTTTAATGTCTCTTTCAAACGGGACTGTTTGCCACATTTATTTGCCACCATGGAGTATGTATTTTGGTTGGTTATCAGTGAGTGATCATGTGACCTTTGACCTAATCAAAACTAAGGCAACATATAGACATTCACTTTGTCCTGGGAGATTTCCTTTTCTCCAAGGAGAAGCCACAATTGTACAGATGTTCAGGCTCCCAGAGTAAATATGGCCACCCCAGGAGAAAAATAACCTGGGAACCAGGGTTAAAGAACTCCTGGAAAAGCAAATGTCTATATATGCAGTGGCTTCTCTCTCAAGAGAACATAGTCCTTCACCAATCCCCTCTTCTGCACCCACCTAACACCCTCCTCCCCCCAGGGAGAGAGTGTCACTCACTGGACTTTGCTGCTCCAGAAGGGAGCATAACATGCTTTCTTCACAATCCCCACATTGTGCTGCAAGAAAACACAGGCTGACCATGGACAGTCTGGGTCAGCTGATCAGAGCTGCCCTACTCACTGCTTCCATCTGTCACCAGGCAGACTAAGGGAGCCTGCAAAGCACATTGAGATGTAGGCACAGAGGCCCCTACTGGCTGCATAGTGTCAGCCCTGCAAGCTCTCCTCTCTTGAGGGTCTCAGCATTTGAATGTCTGTACATGAGCCTCTGGGTAAGCTCTTCTATCAGGAGAACAAACCTGGGAGAATTCTCCCAAATTATCTGAATATACACACACAGCCTAAGTGCCACTGGCCTAAACCAATGCCTATAAGCAACACTCCAGAATGACAGAATGAATAAACTGATTATACAAATACACAAATCATAAACTGAAATGTTTTAGGCCAGTATTTTAGTTTGCTTGTATACAAATGTTCCTAAATGGGGGAAAAATCTATTCATTTTGATTAGTTACTGTACAATAATTTTATAACATGCTATTAATCATTGATCATATGGTCAGTTGTTATTTGACTTTTAGTTTCTATACCCTTATCAGTGTTCAGTTACCTTTGGGAAAATATAGCAGTGTATGTAATACCAGCATTGTAATTTTTTTCATGCATCTCCTACATTGAGAAGCTAAACTAAATTGAAATCAGTATGGATTTTCCTGCAACATACATTTTAATTCCCTGTAGAATTAATTTTGAATCCTTTGCTATTAAAAAGGTATGAGAAAGATTGGCAGGCAAGGGTCTTTGGGTAGATGAGATATCTTTTATTAGACCAACTGAGTAATTGGAAAAAAGTTTTTTGCAAGCCTTTGAGTGCAATCATCCTTCTTCAGGCATAGGGGGTCTTTGCTGATTGCACCTGAAATGGCAGGGAACTGAGGGCACCAGCATGTCTAACTGTGGCCTGAGCATCGTGCACAACCTGGGAGAGCAGCTGAAGCTGGAAGCAGTTGTGGCACAGATCAACTTGTGGGGACCAGGATGCACTTGGAGCTAGGAAGATTGCAGCCACCACTGAAGCGCTGGTTGCCCTCTGAAGCACCCCCCTCCTTTTCATAATCACATTTCCTCTATACTTTCCACAGATAGAGAATAATAATTAAAAAAAAAAAACAGCTTCTAACATATTGGGAGACTGAGTACCCCTGGAGTCACAAAATTACCTTCCAGCTTTTTAGGAGGGTTAATTTAGCCTCTGTTGAGCTTCATATTGATGCAGCCAGACTGTTCAGTGTGACAGCTGCACAGAAACACCAAGAACTAAAGTTTGGGCAAGGCCCCAAACAATAAAAAATGAATGAAAAATTTGCCAAGAGTCATTTCTCCTGTACCCCCAAGTCTTGGCTTAAGCTTATTCCTATTTAGCAAACCATTAGGCATGTACTAAAGCCCCATTGTTATCAGCACACACTTAAATGTTTTTTTTCTGAATCAGATGCTATATTTTTTATATTTTAAACATTAAGAATGGTTTTACAAGTATCTGTGTTAATACAAAATGGAGGAAAAAAGAAAGAAGCTGGTTCTGTAAAAGACAGGAACCAAGGAAGAATTAAAACAGAGACGTGTATATATACCCTCACACTCTATAGTTCAAGGGATTTGTACCAATGCCTTCTAACTGCCAACTACTGCTCTAGAAAGTCCTCTGGTAATGTGGGTGGCTTTAATAATGTGTGTCCAAGGAAGCAATGAAGACAAGAGAAACTGAAATTTCTTCATCCCAATTATTTGTTACAACTGATATTGCTGTTAAAAAAGGCATGATTTTTTGAGATGCTGAACATCTCTGATGAATTCCACTGACTTAACATCAACATTTCGCAGGATGAGAACCTTTGCCTGATGGATATATTTAGGACAGAGACAGAAAATCTGGTGTTCCAGCTGCTTTAACAGACTATGGGAAGGATTTGCAAGTAAAATGCACTTTGACTAGTTTATTTTAGCTCATATTAAAAATTGGTGTTTGCTACAGTATAAAAGGCTGTAGCAGGGACATGCCTAATATACAAAAACATTATAGAGTGAGGAATCAATGTATTATATATAATGAGACTTCACACAAAACTGTAACATATGTTCCTATCAAGAAATGCTATGGAGTGGGAAATGTATTACTTAGTTGGACTTCACCAACTACTCTCTATTTGTGTGTTTCATTTGTATTCATCCATAGTTAATAGCATTTTATATTCTTCCCCTTTTTCAGAATAATAGTTGCTAAAAATTAAAAGGTTCTCTTGCAGAGGATGGGGCTGCACTTTTATTACTGAAATAAGTAATACACAATTAGGCAAAGGTAATCTATTACTGTATGTTATTAGCAGTTCCAAATACATCATATATTGTGATTTATTTTAATAAAAAGTATTTTTGGATTTTTTTAAGTAATTTACTAGTATAAGTAAATTAAACTGAGCAAAGACACTTGGTTTGATTTAATGGGAATTACCATAAAGAAGCCAGGAATTCAATTTATTTTGGTTAGTGATATGCTGTAATAAAAACATGCCTAACCAACCGATAATTCAAAGAACAATAAACCATTATGAGTCAAATCAGAGGACTCCATTTACTTATTACCTGTATTTATTTAAGCAAACCAAGGGAGATGAAATGTGAAATGAATGTGCTATTGATGGGTTACAAATACAGTCTGAAGAAAGCATATTCATCTCCTAAAAAAAGCGCATTTCTGAAATAAAATGCTATTTTAGGAAAACACTGCTGGTAACCAGATTTCAGCCATATTTATGGCATATTTTCCATTTATGTCTGAAAAATGTAAAGCATCCTTAGTTAAAGAAAAAAAATAATCAACTCTTATAAACTATATTAATGGGTATGGTAGCTTTGAAGCATGTTGTTTATTAATATAATACATACATAATGCTGGGTTTACTATTTTATTTGAACGCCATATCATGTTATGCAAAATAAATTTTTATGTTACATCCACTGTGACAACTAAAATGTGAACTAGTTTGCATAGGTTAGTAGCTTGGGCAGCATGATGTTGCTCTAGTCCACCAAGGCTTAAAGATTCACAGTGTAGAGGGAAAAAAACAGGAATTAAAGCATTTCTACTAAAATATATTTTAATAGCTGGTGTTAACTTTTTGCATAACAAAAGCCAAATTATATCAATACATCAAAGAATCCGGTAATAATTCCCATCCTTTGAAAAAAACCCAAACATTTCCTTCATAACGGCATATTCCCAAATAAAGTACATTTTTGCAAAATAACTAGAACTTTACACACTGTAAAGCAAATATATGCCAAACTGCACAGCGGTTCATTTTTGCTTTTTATATCACACTGCAAAAACCAACAGCTGAGTGTGATTCCACATCATGCTAATCAATATTAATACAGTCAGTGCTGCTTTCTGTTGGCCTAGCAACTTGTAATATGTAATACTAAGTACACATGATTGTAATGCTACAGTACTTTTCCCCCTAAAATTAAAAAAAAAAGTTTCAACAGCAACCGGATTACAACTTAAGTACAATATGCAAACTCTATGTATCAGACGCAAAAAAGCATATGAATTCCTTTCAGTATACGGTTGTAGTGCAGGAAGGTAAGGAAGGAAAATAGCTACAAGTTTTCTTCCAGAGAGGCGATAGGATTTGGAGCTGGGGGTTCCTACAGCATAAGCATTGCAGAATGCTTTATTCTTTTAGCTCACACCAGCAATTTTGCCTCTGCCAGCACAAAACACTCAGGTGTATGCAGTAGTCTGGATATTTACCATTAGATAGCATCTGTTGCCCTTTTTAGGACACAATTTAAATATTTAGTCACTAAAGCTTGCTCCATATTTAATGTAGAATGCTATTCAAAACACTTAAGGTCTAACAGATTTTATTTCTCATTCCACATTCTGCCACTTTGTGTATTTGACTATTTTATAACATAAGGTGACATGTAGCCATTGTACAATAAAAACTAAAATTAATGTCATCCTCATTGCTTAAGGCCTTCTTTATCCCGAAGAATATCTTAGGAGAGATGTATTTATCAAGGATATAATGCATTGATGATTCCCTGTCAAAACCTGATCAGTTTAAATGGTGTGTAATATGTCAAATGTAATCATGAGAATCCCATTTCATCAATATTAAATACTAATCTTCTGTACTGGATTATTACAGCTGAAGTATCTGTAGCTTTCTTTAGGAAAAAAAAAGGTGGGCAAGTAAATGGGCAAGTAAGATAATGAGCCTCAAGGTGCCCATTTGTTTTTTGTACTTTTATGTGTATTTTTATCTTATTTACTATGTTACCTTTATATGTGTCCATAAAGGAAAATAGCAGATTATAGTGCCCTTCTTTTTGCAGCACTTAGGGCATGTCTACATATGTGATGTGTTATGTTGCTGTACAGCATGCTATGGCGATGTAGTGATTATGTGTGTAGCACCAGGTATAGCGTGCCATTACAGTGACAGAGTGGCAAAATTTACCTGTATGCCACATGCATGGTACAGTAACCGCCCGTACTGCGCCGTGCATTAGTACTTCCAAAAGGCAACATGTAGACATGTCCTTAGAGATGAATGAACTCCCAAGTATAGAATGTCTCAGAATACTGCCTCTTTAGACAGGTCCTTTCCTTCTCCAGTGAGATGTGTCCATGTAAGCAACAGATAAAGAGTAATGTTGAAACACTGCGTTAAACTAGAAGAACTAGATTTGCACTATCCCTGCTTATTGGCTATTTTAAGGATGAAAAAGCAGTATTTTGCACTGAATTACCCTGACATTCCACTGCATACTAGCACGGCCTAAGAAACTCCTTGTAAGAAACTGAGCTTGCAAATTTTGAGTGTTCACGTGAGATTTTGTACAGAAAATATTTTGGATCTCAAAAGATTTTGCTAACTGGGCGCACACATTCTGAGAAATGAGAAACTCTGCTAATAACAGTGCTCTGTAATGAGAATTTAGTTTGTTGTATATTAAAATAAAAGCTAAATGAGCATGAATTAGTAAAAGATTTCACTACAAGAAATGCTAAACATTCATTATTTTAAACAGAGATCAGTAATTATGATGATATACCATTCTCAAGAGAAATATGATTCACATACTGTTTTGTTTTCTTGACCTTTTTTATTTTGGAAATTGCTTTAAATACTTTGCCAGGCTATAGAATATTCAAAATTCAAAAAGATAATTTTATTTCCACTGCTTAGCATAACATAGTCTTCTAATTTCATAAAATACTTATTTCTGAATTTCCTTTTTAACATACATACAGAGTTCAATACTAAATATTTATCTTCCAAGCTAACGTGAAGAATGCTAGTGTGATTATGGGCTTCTTTTTAAGACACTAAAAACAGCAACTTGATACTATATATATCTGTTCCTTATGCATCCTTTTATTTATATCTGCTTAGCACACTGACAACTTATTTTTACTGTTGTCAGCACTACAAAGCTAAAATAGCAGCACAACAGCAAGTGATATCCAGTTCTACCTCAGACTCATCAGAAAAATTTGCCAACCATCATAAAGTGTGATTTTCTTATCTGTTGTTGAAGACTGGTGATTATAGCTAATGCAAAACCAGACTGCTTTTCAGAGAGCTTTTAGACTTGGCTTAAAGTATCAGCAGTTTGAAAGAAGTTGCTTGACTTGCAAAACTAGCAAATTTGTTATGGAAGTCTACAATAAAGGATAAGGGCCTGTGGCTGCAGCTGCTCCCTAAGCAAAACTCATGCTGTCTTCCACAGAATATTAAAAGCACAGTAGTTGCAGACTCAGGCCTATCTATGGAACAAAAAAGTTCCATCCTTACTGAGTTATTTTTCCTGGTTTTAACCACCTCAGGACATGCTCCTGAACCCCAAAAGTATCATCCTTAAAATGAGTTATCTGACAAGAAAATATAGGTACCCCACTTACTTTTCAATATTTATGGACTCACTACTATATTTTTTAAACATAATCATTGAAAGTTATTGTTCTCTGTCTGCCAGCTTTGGATAGGCCACCTAGTTAACTATCCAGTGGAATTGCATGAACTCGTTGTTTTTAAATATTATGCAAAGCAGAGCTGGCAGCTATCTAGCACTAACAGGGTTTCAGGGGCTGGGGGTGGCTGTTGTTTGTTTTGGGGTTTTTTTCTCCCATCATGAATACTTATTGCTTTCCTTCATTTCTGTTAAATGAAATAGTGCCAGCTTGGTGACTTTGTGAAACCAGAAATATAAAATTCTCTAAAAACATAGTATAACTTAGTCTCTATTTTGTAAATCTAATACATACAAGATCACTGGCACACTTGCCAAATTTCAAATGGCAGCTCTCTGGCTAGTATTTTTAACTCATGTCTGAATACATGAGTATTTATGAACCATCAGAATAAAAAACAACCATATGTGTTCCTTAAACACATACACATTCCCCATGAAGGTTTACAGGATTTTGTGCTCCCTCTGACTTAGGTGAGAATCCTGTAAGGAGAACAACATGGCAGGAACAAAGCATCCAAGAGGAGTCCAGTTAAAGTCAATGGAGCTTTGTGATGGAGTATCTGACACTAGGTTTCTATTTCAGGACTGGAACTTCAGTGATAAAGCATCTCACCTGTTACATCTCACTACTGAGATACCAATGAATCCTTCAATCCTGACCCCAAGCTGAAGGAGCACTGGAAAAAATAGCCGACAGTTTATCAGGAACAAAATCGTCATGGCTGCAATATGGCTGCATTCTAGATAGTGTCCTGATAATGTCTCAGAAAATTGAAGCCAGAAAGATTGCAGCTGGTACTATTTTTCTCCTTTAGCTTGGTCTGAATGTGGCTTAAAGTAGAAGAGAAGTAATGAAGTTGCATAAAAGTTGGGACAATAATATTTACATTTTAGTACTGAAACCAAAATCTGAAGACTTTTTATGCAGGAATGAAGGGTTCTGTTAGATCTAAGGATAAAAAATACCTGAAAAAAAAGAGCTGATAGCTTTCCTTTTTTATCCTTAGGTAAAGAAGGAAGGTGGAACAGAACTGGTAGAACAGTTGTATGCTTAGCATTCCTGTGGTGCTACCATGAGCATCAGCAGAGGTCAATGACATTTGTCTTTCATTAATCATTTTGTATGGGTATAGCCCATTTTGGGATAACCAAATGGCTTCACATATACAATGGGAAAGTTTTGGAAGAAACTGAAGGTGTATGCCACTGGACTCAAATTCAGTACAAAATAAGAGCTTCTCTCAACTTGTTTATGGAGATGCAGCAGAGGTGGGAATATCAGCTTGTCAGCAAAGTTACCATTAAGTTAGTCGCATGTTAGAACAAGGAATGTAGCTATGTGTTTCATGTTGCCACATGTCATGTGGGCCCCAGACTGGCTATTTACAGCAGTAATACAGAGGAGGATAAAGGAAGTGAAGTGAATTATTGCATGTACAGTGCTTTAATGGAAGCTGCTATCTAAATGCTAAGTATTATTAAAGGGAAATAGAAGAGGTGGCAATTAGGTTTTGCACTCTGGATAGTGCCTATGGGAAATGTTCTGTGTAAAAGATACCAATATGCCATGAATCAAGGAATGGTTACAACTGATGAATTAGGTAGCAGGCCAAACTGACAGAAGGGAAGGTCACAGTCATGAATGAGAGCAAATGGAAGATCCAGCAATGAATGAAATTGTGTGGGCAAGTGGGAGTTGAGAATTTTTCACTGTCAAAGCAGACTTTCAAGTTACGTATAAGGCTGCTGGGCAGTAGGGTTTCTACCAGTATGTTACCCGCCATTATTTAAAATTGTTGACTTGTCATTTTAATTCGCATATTAACTGCTCAAATGTTAAAGAGCTTTCACATTATTAGAGAGTGTTATTAAACTAAGAGTATTAAGTTTCTTGTGACTGCAAAGTGATATAAGAAAAGAATCCATTTTATGGTTATGTTTAAAAGAGAAAGAACCTCTTTATATCTATGGGAAAGGCATTTCTCCTTTACAATTAATTGACAGAAACCTTTACATGATTAGCAACACCAGTCTTCCACATGATGGTTTTAGAGAGCATTATTATTAAGCAATGCTGTTTTCAAGCTCAAAGCTTCTTATTGATTTTTTTTTCAGTAAAGGACCAGTATGTTGGCTTATGCTTGTGAATATGGACTGTTATAACAGTGACAAAGTAAGGAGTGTGTGGTCATAAAAGTTTTCTCTGATTTTTTTAAAAGGTTAAGTTTTGAGTAAAGCTTAAAGGACTAGAGACAAAAACTAGTTAACAAACTCAATATAATTTGCTGGAAGCATTCCTGTTTTCCCAGTTCTCTGAACAGTACCATACATCCAGCCATCATCAATTGGTTGCACATTGACGATATAGTCACCATCCCTGAAGGAAACTTCATCTTCATCTTGAGCACTGTAGTCATACATAGCTCTGTATGTTCTCTGTTAAAGGAAAAGAAGCCAAACCATGAAGTACCCACCACAGAATGACATATCGCCTCCCTCTTGCAAACATACAAAAGAGAGAGAGAGAGAGAGAGAGAGGAAGGAAGGGAATCTTTAATAAGTTTCATCATTATAGTGTTTAAATGCGTATACAGAAAGAGAAGATAATGCTTAATATCCAACAGGTATCTCCCAGAAAGGAACTGGGTGAACGCTTCATGCCAAATAGTTTATTCAACAAATTCAATTCCCCTTTCTGGATAAAAAAAGATAGTGATTTTGATGAATACACTCAAAACTCTTTCACCAAACATATTCAAGCTAACACATTTCTCTTAAAATATTCCCCATAATTGTTGCTTCAGTTATTTGTTGACCAAGATTCATTTTTCACTCTGTAGCTGTCCATCTGAGCCACATAGCACTGTTTCTACTCCCTGTTTGGATAATCCCAAGCAGGCTGGTTCCAATGTGAAAAAAGCTCTGCTTTTAACTCAAGTTATTTAACCTGTTACATCGTTTCAAAACTATAAACTCTCTCTTCCTTGCTAGGATTTTACCTTAAGTTATCTAACACATGCTTTTCCCTTAGGAGAAACAGAATGGATGAGACTTAAGATGCCTATGTATATATCTGTATGAATATATATATTTACCATCATTCATGTATACATCAAATTTTAAGGAGTATTCAGGCACAACGTTGTGATATTTTATTGTTTTTGTAAGCATGTCTATGAGCAAAATTTTGTTTACATGCAACTTTTTAGGCTGAGAGCTGGTATTTTATTATTCTTCACAGTCTTTGAGGAAACTCTAGGATTACTCTTGTTCCTAGCAGGGTCAGGTTATGCTTAAGGCTGAAATTATATTTTTTTATTGAATGGCAGACACCTACATCCATGGATTGTCTCATTTTAATGTAAATCCAAACAGAGTATAAAGTACTATCATTAACTGCCTCAGTCTTTTCTATTCTTTTGTCAGTAGCAAGCACAGTGTTTCTTCCTTCCAAAATGAAAAAAAAGTTTCATATTTATATCATATTCAGTTTTCTACTGAATTGCACACTGTGGCTTCACACTCATTTAGAGTAGATTCTCCCCAGATTCTTCTAGGGCATGTTTAGTTTTACACTCACTCTATCTGGAGAATGAGCCTTCCCCAAATTTTCTTTGGCTGGAGGCCACAGGAGCCACTCATTAAAAGCTCATGGGAGTTCTCAGTATTCTTTCCTACCACTCTCTCAAGTAGAGAAGCTGGGGTAGCTCAAGAGGCACAGGTCACTGACTAACAGCTCTTTTTCAAGGACAAAGTGGACAGGAATCTACCTGGGATGGTTTAGAAAAAACAAATCCTGCATTGGTGTAAAAAGTTAGATTAGATATCACTTAGGCCACTTACAGTCCTAAGATTCAATAACTGATGTCTATCATAACCAGCAACATAAGATGGATGTTTTAGCTAAAATGATCAACAGAACAAACAGTTAATGTTGGGAAAAAAAAAACCCCAAAACAAATCAGTAGGATCAACTCTATAATTTGAGAGATAAATTAAGGAGCCTGCCTCCAATCTGGAAAGATAACACAAGGCTGCTTCATGTTCAGGTTTAATTATATTTTTAAAAATGAAAATGTAAGCTGTGCCTTGTATCAATGTGTGAGGTTTTGAAGCGGTGATTTTAGGAATCTTTGGGTAAATGGATGCTAGCACACACGGGAAACTGGTCTTGATATTCCAGGCCAGGCAAATACCCTAAATTTATCACAGTTGGACATTTCACAATCCAGGGCCCTGGCTGACCTATCATGTGATTAACATGTTGACTGTGATAAATTGTAACATGCCACATATTCAGCCAACTCATGGTGCAGAAAAATGGCAAATCAACCACAAAGTTCAGAGGAGGGTTCAGAGGAGGGCCACTCGTATGGTTAGGAGCCTGAAGGCAAAGCCCTGTGAGGAAAGATTGAGGGACCTGGATCTCTTCAGCCTCCACAACAGAAGGATGAGAGGTGACCTTGTGGCCGCCTACAAATTCATTAGCAATGAATAGGAGATGCTCTGTTTACCAGGGCATCCCTTGGAGTAACTAGGAACAATGGCTACAAACTGGTGGAGAGCAGATTTAGGTTGGACATCAGGAAGAACTTCTTTATGGTAAGGGTTGCCAGAACCTGGAATAGTCTTCCAAGGCAGGTGGTGCTCTCCCCTACCTTGGAGGTCTTTAAGAGGAGGCTGGACATGCACCTGGATGGGGTCATCTAACCCCAGTGCTCTTTCCTGCCCAGGGCAGGAGGTCAGACTGGATGATCTGCTAAGGTCCCTTCTGACCCAAACATCTATGAATCCAAGTTGTTCTAAATTAAATGTGAAACATTTTTGTGGCTGGTTTGTATTGCGCTATAAGTATAACAAGTAGCATATGTCCTGAACTTGAGACCACCCCCTGCTTGAGCCCAACAATCAGTTCATTATCAAGATTGGGCAGGGGGGAAGGATCAGAGCCTGGGACACAGATGCCATCTGCCCATTGAAAGACTTGCCTTTCAACTTGACAGTGCCCCAGGAACCAGCATCAGGGACTGGAGTCCCTGTTGCCAGGCTCCCTTTACACTGGCAAACTGAGCTCCCTTTACACTGGTAACCTGAAAGAGTGCCATGAACCTTTAAAAAGCATGTGCAGCTGAGGAACTGGGGAGTTCCCTGATCCCCAGCTGTACACCCTGGCAGTCATATGATTCAAATCTAAAGAATTTTATGTCCCATCCCAGAAATGGTGTATCCTGCCTGGCATGTCAGGGTTCATGATTTTAGGGAATGGGCATAAACAATTCCTTATATCCCAATCATGTGATTATATTCATGTCTGCCAGGGACCTCAGAACCATCTATATGGGCCATTTGAAGCCTGGGGGTCACCTACCACAGCTTTGTAGTAAGGGGGCTCTCATTAGCACCATCATACTGGGTACAGAATCAGTTGTTTTGCATCTTCTTTCCCTTCTGAGTGAATAATAGATACAAGACAGCTCAAAATGAGAGGAAAATTAACTTGTGGTTAAATACCAGGTACTATAGAATTGGCTATGTGGAAAATCTGCTATAAACGGTACTTCATTCTTGCTTAGTATACTATCATTTTACTGCACCTTTACAGTGAAGCTCATCTGATGATGAAAAGCTCAGCAGTCATGAATTCATCTCTTTCTTTACTTCCACAAGGAAAACATTTAATAAACATGTCCCTTGACAAGAAGCACAGCTCCCTGGAACCATGCCTTTTTTTTTTCTTTTTTTTTTTGAGGGTGGGAAGGAGGGGTTGTTTTTTAACCTGTGTGACTCATTTAAGCCTCCTTGACTGCATCACAGTAGGGCGAAGTTATAAAGTCTATCTGATACATTCTGACTTTTAAAAATTTTAATAGGGCCTTAATGCTGCTGTGAAACCCAAAGTTACAGCCTTAGCACCTAATTAGGTGTTAAATGGCTGTCAGGAGAAATCTCCATAATAATCCTATAAACACTTGGTGTCTAATTATCACTTCAGAATGTAGTCTGGGCTATATAACAGAATTATTCAAGCCTAAATTACTTGAATAAGGTATTTTAAAAATACATTTAAGTAACTTATGGAAGAGGCAAAGATTTTTGTTATGGTATCTGAGGGCCTCACTGTAGATCACAGCTTTTTGGTGTGCTTGAGATGATTGCTAGTTTTGTAGACAGGTATGTTAGTCTATGGGTTGTTTGCATATGGTTGTTTGTAGGAAACCATCCTGGATATGGACTGTGGCATCTAGAAAGTTGATATTAGTGTTTGAGTATTCCAGAGAAAGTATGATCAAAGGGTGATAGTTGTTAAATCTGTGATGGAAATGAATAAGTGATTTATCAGATGTTCAGTCCTGATGATGAACATATTATCTATATAATGCAGGTATAGTCCAGGTTTGATGGTGCAGTTTTCTAGAAATTCATTCTCCAGGTAGCTCAAGAGAAGGTTGGCATAGAGGAGCCACATTTGTGCCCATCCATGTACCCACAGTTTGGAGGAAGTGATGACTGCTGAAAGTGAAATTGTGGATTAGGATGAAGTGGATGATTGGTGAAACCTTGTTGCAAATCTGAGTGTACTCTATGTTCTCACACATATTTCAGGCAGGCAGCTGTGCCTTCACATGTGGGATATTAGTGCACAGAATGGTGACATCCATTGTTGCAAGTCTGGCCTTCTTATCAGGGAGGTGGTTGATGTTTTGGATTTTGTTGAGGAAGCATGTTGTATCCTGTTGAAAACTTGCTCTTTGGGTGAGAAGTGGTTTCAGGATAGTTTATATGAATCCCAATAGCTCTACAGTGAGGGTGCCACAATTGGATATGAGTCTCCCAGGGTTTCCTTGTTTGTGAATCTTTGGGAGCTATAGCAAGTTCCTGGGGTAAGAGAGTTGTAAATTAGTGGAAGTAGTTTTCATAAAACTGGATCGGAAAGGATATGATAATATTTTCCAGTTCTAGAGTGAATACTGCTGCAGGGTCCTCTTCAAATTCTTTATAGTAGTTGGTGTCAGAGACTTGTCTGTTTGCCTTATTAATGTGGTCTTGACAACTGAGGATGGCTATAGCTCCACCTTTGTCTGCTGGTTTTATTACTATTTCACTGTTGGATTTTGGGACTGGATGCTATAGAGGGGGAGCATTGAACCGGATATATCTAGAGTGATCTATTCATTACCCACCCAGGAATCTACCATTATTGGTTTAGAGATGAAAAAGAAAACATCTCCAACCCTTTTGATCTTTCATCCAGGAATTTATCTAGTTTCTTTTTGAACCTGGCTATGCTATCTGCCTCAACCAGCTCCTGTGTCAATGAACTGCACAAATTAACTATGTGCACTATAAAAAATACCTTTATCTTGTTAGTTTTAAACCTGTCTCCTACTCATTTTAGTTGGTGCCTCCTAGTTCTAGTATTCTGGTATTCTAATTAC